TACCATTAAATAGTTCTTTGACTTATTTCAACACATATTTGATGCTGCCAAGACGATATTGTCTGGTATTTGCACTCATCATATCAACAAATTATTTTTGGGTTCTCTTGATGACCTCCAAATCAAAGGCATTTAGCTTTAACTGCGCATTTAGCTCTCCCAGTAAGCCATGGCCTCCCTTAATTAAGCTCTCCGCCACTACTTCCTCTTCAACCTCACCTCAAGTTATTACCCATACAGCACAATTTCCCCAGGCAAATCATCCGCTGCTACTACTACTTACTAACTCTGCAATGTGGACACAAGCATCTGGTGCTCCAGGGACTCCTAAGGCAAGTCCTCACTCTAAGCACATCATTTCACCAACAGAAAAGAAAGTCCCAAGCAGCCATGTGACCTGTGCTTGACCACGGAATCATCTTGAGTATGAAACCTGGTTTCTCAGCTTTCACTACAAATGTTCTTTTTAGCACCTTTTCCTACTGTCACCAGCAAACTTCAAGACCCCAAGAAACTCACTTAAATACAGGCCTTCCTATACAGTTCAAGCACGGAGTTTATACTTGGGTTTATCTGCCATGACACTGGAATGTATAACTAATCTAGTCAACAAATTAGAAGGTAAAATCAATGGAAGCAATTATTTGTCTTTGTATAGATCAAATCAATAGAATATTGTTAACAAATAGCATTTACTATTTCTGGATTCTTCCTTAATCTGGATGGTTAATGACATTATTTTAGCTGATTATCATCTCTTCCCATCTCAATTATATATCTTTTTAAATAAAAATTTTATTTTATTCATCTTTGAATTCTTCACTGTCTTACCCAAATATCTTGTTCCTTTCTTCATGTATAGTACAAATAGAAATGGATTTTTTTGTAATGCTGAGCTTACTAACACTGCAGCCTTTCTTACTTAAGCTATTTTGCTGTAATCATTCACTCACTCTGTTTTAGTTTGATATGTGCTCCCATTAAATAGCACAGAAAGTTAAAAAATGACTTTTTCTTTTTTCCATCTTGAGAGTCTGTGTGTGTGTGCGTGTGTGTGTGTGTGTGTGTGTGTGTGTGTGTGTGTGTGTGTGTGTGCGCGCGCGCATGTGCGTCAGGGTCAGAGAACAACTTAAGCAATCACTTATCTCTGATAGTCAGGCTTGGCAGCAAGCACCTTCATCACTGGGCCATCTTGCTGGCCCAGATCATCGGTTTTTAAGAAGTCTTTTGGAATAAGTAGTATACATGTTTTATAAATAAATCCAAATTCTTATATACTGGAGTTTCTTGAGGGATGACAGTATATGAAAAGAGAAGAACAACATTATTTGGTATCATAAATTATGATCAAAAAAGCTGAGCCTTTTTCTTAATCTCCAAGTTTTAAGGAATGGATCCCTTCCTAGACAAATATTCACGCCTATGAGCATAGGTCTTTGCCCATGTGCAGAGCTTTCCATAACCTACTTTACTGGGAATTCTAATTAGGAAGATACAGGCAATAACTCTTCTCTACCTCCATCTCACTTTAGCTCTCCTACATTCTCAGACTAGAGGTTCCAGATTCTTATCCATGAAGTGATTATGGTCTGGCCCTGACTCAGATTTGTAACTAATGTCCACGGGGATCCTTCGACCTATCATTGACAAGCAGAGCCAATATATGTCTTCCAGCCTAGTGAATTCTTTCACCTAACCTCAGAGATCTACTGCGATGCTGTATGGTTAGAGGCCTCCTTTCACAAACAATAAAAATGGCCTCAATATAGAAAAGAGAAACTCAAGTCATTGTACAATGACTAACAACTACCATACACATACTGCTTTAGTGCACAAACATTGCATTGTGTGTTCAATAGGGAGTATCTTTGAAGCTTTTGGTCTAATTATCTCTAATTCTATTTGATCACTGAATGTCCATATTAACACCCCAACATATCTCCAGCCATAGGATTAGCATAAAACTTATAAGAGTGGTCTACAATGATACCAATCATTATTGTATCCTCTATCTTCCAGAAAAAGAAAGACATGACACTAACAAAAAGAAATGGTTTCCTTTTGGATGTTACCATATCAAAATGCAGCTCTGACGGCAGCCCTGCAATCGGTTATGAGTGAAACACAGCCTGCTATTCAGCATGGTACTCCCTCCTTTCCAACTGCTGGTCGCAAGACACATTTCTCTTTTAAAATATAAAAGTAAAGTGTTTCCAGAGAGAGAGAAGAAAAAAAATTCACAAAGTACATTTTTGTTACAAACTATATAAAAATCTGTCACTATTTATGTTACAAGTGTAGTCATCAATAAGGTGGTTTTTTTTTTCAATGTACCACTCAAAAATCAATTATATCAACTCGTTTGTATAGAGGGGAGAGCACCTTTCACGCAACTAGTATTAATGAGCAGACGTGACTATAGAATCTCCATCTGTTTCTCTGACAAAGCTGTGGCTTCTCTGGTCTCTCATTGAAATTCCATTAATCTGGTGTACCAAGGTCCAATGCGAAAATCAAAACTCCATCTAACCCTTTATCAGCTCTCAATAACCTACATGTGAACTCTGCCTGTTAGCACGCATCAAGTTATGATTTTGCTATCCATCAGGCAGCTGGCCAAAAAAAAAGCAACCAAACCAAAAAAAAAAAAAAACCATGCAGGCTGGAAAGAAAGAGCATGTCTGGTTTGAAGATCTTGCTTTTGTTTCTGGTCAATAGGGTATCTGGTCTTGGTGAGACTGTGCGTTATTCTCTGTGGCTGTGATTTAATTGCTACCAGCAATCAAGTCGAGGCATCACTGAAGTGTGCTTGAATTTCATTAGAAGATATAACTTATGCTACTTTCCTACAGTACCTAATAAACCATAAAGAAACCAAAACACATATGGCTTGAGGGAATAACTGGAAAATTAGGTGGCCATTTGGGAACTGGGTGAACTTTTGAACCAGAGGAACAGAGAAAAGAAATATTAAAGGGAAAGGCAGACTTAGAATTCACAGAGATGTGCGGGTTTGACCTTTGCAATACCTTGGAAATTACATTAACTCTATGAAAAATACATTATCATGCTTAGAGTTTATAATCCATCAACATTCAGATACCGTTAGTGCCTACCATAAGGTAAAAGTCAAAAGGACAAAATAACCTGACTTGACAAAGGCTGAACTAGTTATAGTTATTGTTAAATGCATTTTTGTAATTAGCACATCATTAGACTGATCATAGTAAAGGAACTCATACTCTACAAATCAAAGAGAACACAGAAAAAAATCTAAGCTGCAAAATAACACACTAATGAGATGATAGGTTGGAGTACATGTTCAGTGACGCTCTGAAAATTAACCTACCATGTTCCAAGAAAATATAAATCCTACTACTAACATATCAAAATGAATCATAATAAAAATAGAATGTCTCATCTGCCTAAGAATTGCTTAAGCACTAATAAATAAGCACAGATATTTAACAAAAAAAAAAACTGGTGCTAAACATAAACATGCCATTAAATGTATTTTAACAAGTTTTTCATATCAATATACTTCTAGATTTTGATTTTGAGAACACATGAAATTTCTTAAAATTTCATTTACATTTCTTTATTGATGGGAGTGGTGCATGCATGTTCCACAGTACTCATGAGGAGGTCAGAGACCAACTTGTGGGAACTGGTTTTCTCTTAGAACCGTATGAGTCCTGGGGATGGAACACAGGTCTTTAGGTTTTAATGGCACGTGCCTTTATGTGCTGGGCCATCTTACCAGCCCCCAAATCATTTATTCTTAAGAAAGAAAACAATAATCACAAGAGTATCCTATGATTTAATAACAATTCACTTTCCTAAAATTTACTCCTCCCTTTAAAAGCAGAAATTAAATGTAAAAGTTAACAGAAAATGGATCTGATTGTCACCGCTACACATTGGACAAAGTTCTGGATATAAAAAAAGATTGTTTTGTTCTGAGTCAGTGGTTAGAATGTTTATCACTTATGCATGCACTTGACTTATCCCTGTTCTGCAATAGACATAATTTTATACCTCATAAAAGCAATTTATGTCTCCAAAGGGAATGATCTGGATAACACAGAATGTGGAGTGTTCTGATGCAGGGAGCGCATTTTCATTCAGCAACTGTACTTAGAGATGGAGCTGCACAGTTTGATCATCATATGGTGGCAAAAGGCATCCTTCATTTCTGTCTATGTGAAACTCTGAGTGGCACAAATTAATATGCATAGCTAATGCACTGGTATGCATTCTTCATTTATAACTACAGATCATTCTTACAGGGTTTCCAGAGTGCAGATTCACTTGACTGAGTATCAAAAAGGAGGCACTCACTGCATTCTAAAATTAAGATTCAAAACTCTGACAATAGTCCATAGATTTTAAAAATTACTAAAATATAAACAATCAACTCTATTATTATCTATTAATACCATATACCAAACTATTAATGCATAATATGGAGCAACTGTAAGTGGTAATCAGAAAAACGAAAATGTGTAGTAAAAAGACATCTGATAAGAAAAAAGCCTGTCACAATATTAGAAGGCAATGTAGAAATAAATGATTTAATATTTTATGAACTCATTTTGTAAGAAGTTTTAAGAAAAAATACACCAAATATCTTTTTCATTATTTATACAATAAATAATACAAAAAATCATTAAGGGGCACAATCAAATATTAAGCAAGAATCTGATAATATTAAATTAACCAACAAACTGTTACTAAGAACCTTCCCATAATAATACCAGCACTTGCCTAAAAATTCTAGTAATGAGAATCTCCTTTAAAAAAGAAAAAGAAGTACCTATACACTTAAGTAGCCTCCCTAGGACCACTAGGGAGAGCTCTTCCATTCCTGGAAAGGTTCTGTTAAAGTTGAGGTGCCCCTGGCCTGTACTTTCTGCTTTCTGATAAGCCTACTCACTCTACATGTAGCAGTTTTTTATGACAGTGCCAAGAGGTATATTCTACGGTAGAGCGTCACATACCATCAGAGGGGCCATCATCATCTTTATCATAACGTTCTGAGGCTAAGGAAACAGTGTCTGGAGGCCCAGCAAAAGGATCATCATATTCATCCCCGTCATCAGCATCACCTGTAAATGAATCAGAGAAATGCCTTTTATGATTGACCCTCTGAAAATAATGGTACCCTGTCAGAAGAAGCCAGATTTACCATTAAATTTAGTCACTGCAACAGGAAAAAAACAAAATATGTTTGAACTATGTCTGATTTTACTTTATATGAATCATAATCTAGATGGCTTAGTAAGTATATTTAAAGGTCAGTAGACAGATGCTTACTTGAGACCCAAAAAGATCCAGTCCCAAGATCAAGAAGGTTTCTTCTACAAGTTCAAAAAACAGAAAAAAAATGACTAAACAAGACAAGGTAACAAAAACTGAAAAGCGGAATGCACAACAGAGAAAATAATTCAAGCAATCCCCTCTACCTCCTCAATAATTTGAAAAATTATAATGAGAAATTGACTGTAGCCACATGAATACTGTTTTTATTAAAAGTCACCACAGGATTATATTAGATTAAAAATTGTTACATTTCCAAGAGTGGGAATTCATTAAGGGGAAAATGCCTTAAGACTCACATAATCCCTCTAAATTCAAACACAATTATCTACGAAACCTTTCCATTTTCACACAGTGGCACATAAGCCACTGTTTTCATGTGGTAGCCTGTTTCCTATTTGATTCCCAAACCCTAGATTGGTTTGTAGAGGTTTGTTTATCTGCTTGCTTTACATATTTAATCCCTATGATAAAAGTATGTGGGGGGGGGGGTTCCTCACATACTTGGTTAAAAAGTATTTTACTACTTTTTTAAAAATGAATCAGTTATTTGCTAAGCCCTGTTATACATACTCATTTTTCTTATAAATTCAACAACACATAAAAACATATGCTTAATAGTGTGCTATTTGTTAACAACTGAAATTATCTGTTAACAGATAAGGAAATTTTGCCAAAAGGATGTTTGCATCCTCTGGCATCCATATGCTGGGACGTGTGTGCATCCTCAGACATCCATCCGCTGGGATGTGTGTGTGCATCCTAGAACAGCCATCTGATGGCTGCCTCCTATTTTCCTGCACATTTTGAATACAAGTTGCCCCTTTCAGACAACATTGTCTATATAATTTAAGAACTAAATGTTAATTTCTATTTTCTTATGATTGTACTATTTCGTGAGCACCCATCATCTTTATCCTCAAAAACGTGAAGATGGTGACAGGAGCAGAATGCAGATGGCTATCTCATCATCTTTACCAAGTCTGTCACTGATACACTAAATATGGTAACATCTCTTTCCCAGTTAAAATTACATGGACTGCACATAGGTGCTACCAACTCTTCAGAGCTCATCTTTCTTGAGATGTTAAAGTACTGTCCAGAACATAAAAATATCTCTCTTATGAAGACAGCACTGATTATAAACACAAAAAGGAGCCTCATGAAATGCTACTAAAATATTTTGAGCACATTGTGATAGTTCATGGGACATACAGTAAAGATCACAAAATTCTCAGTTTCTTTTAGTTGCTATGACCTATTTTTAATGAAGTAAGAATTGTTGTGTTAATTTTCTAAGGACACTTCACACTGCACACTAAAAAATAATAAACCTTGCTGAATGTTTAAAATGTCAGGGTATGTCATATACATTTCCAGAACTTAGTGTTCAGTACATCAGGTGCTATAACTACAGAAAACAGTAAAGCTAAGTAATCCATTGAAATGAGTTCAGATACTCAGGCCCAATCCTCACATTCTATAAGAAATGACCAAACAAATTAAAACTCCTTTAAAGTTTTAAATATCAATAGTTTAACTTTTGATATGTCTATTATCTATTTTAATGAGTACATATATGGCCATATGTGTATGGGTCCATATAACAATCTATTTATTTATGTATATGCTATATATAAAAAAGGTTATAAAAACCGTAACACTTGATGTAAGAAAATTTATTCTATAAAAATCTGTCACTGACATGTTGAAGACCTCCTCTGCCTTTGTTTACAAGAAAAAAATGCTCAGGATAGCCTTCAAAGCCACAGAGAAAAACCCTGTCTTGAAAAACAGAAAGGAAGGAAGGCAGGGAGGGAGGGAGGGAGGAAGGGAGGGAGGGAAGGAGGGAGGGAGGAAGGAAGGAAGAATGAATGAATGCTTTTTGGATTATATATGAAAATGAAATTGTCTGAAAGAATTGATTTTTTTAAGTCAGTGTGATATCTGTCTTATCAAAGACAAGCTGAATTATGAGACTGCTCACTTCCCTTGCCCACCTCTTGTCACCACCCTCTATTCCCAGGAATATAAACAGTATTTTTGTGGGAGCATTCCATTTCTAAAACTGTATGAAGTTGAAAGAACACTGCTTTTCAGCATGGCTTTACTGCACTGATGAGCCATTCTTTTACCCTCCTCTGATTTTTGTTTTCTAACCATTTCCCCATGCAACAATGAAGGGGAAAAGCTGTTCTCTTCAGAGGCTCTGTAACTGAATACAGGGGTCGCTGTTGAGTAGCGCATAGCATCTTTCTTCCCTGGGGGCTAAGTATCCATAGCTATACCTGCAAGAGCTTCTATAAATTAAAAGGAAAATGTTCAATGTGTGTTTATGTAATAAAATACTGAACTCGAGTCAACAATGGGCATCAGGTAAACGTATCCAATACAATTTACAGACATAATTGAAAGCATTACAGACTAATCAGACATCTAAAAGAAAGGCATGCTCGAATGTAATGTCTGCAGAGTCATTAGTTGGCAGCCATTCTATTACAATCACACATAATGTCCGTGGTGCCTTGAGCCTGTGCCAATGACAACAGCATAAATTTTGCATCTCATTTCTGTGGTCATAAAATTAATGATCAGTTTAAAAATACTTCTTTGTAAAAGTTATTGCGCAAAGAAAAGACATGAATGTGTCCCTGTTATGTACTCACAAGGATAATTATGGGATTGTTGCTCATTAATACTGTTTCTTGTTTCCCTAGAAAAGCATTTGATTTATCCTACAACTTTCAAAAGTTTAATTAACGATACAAAGTTAACCATCGAAAAGACAATGATCCAAGGCTTCCCTTCCCTGCATTTCAGTGGCAACTTCAAGGCTTAATTGTACCACAGCAGCATAGGTCCCTGATAACTGCTTTGAAATTTATAATACTGCTAGCCATCCCTTTTCACATGGCTTATAGTCAATTACCACTTTCTTAAACGGCTCCAGATGCAGCCAACAGCTACTGCACAGTCATGAACCCGCCACCACTGAAGGCATTCTGCCCAATTTATCGCTTATTTTGTCAAATACAATCCTGTTCTAAATATAATTAGATAATCAGCCAAATACACCTAAAATTTAGAGCCTATTTCATATACATATTGAAATACCACTTGTACTCCATAAATATGTATAGCTGTTAACTTAAAGGAATTTATAACTAAAATACAGTTTAGAGAACAATTATCCCCTCATGAAGAGCAGCATCAAGGACAAAATTTGGAGAGATAACTCCAAGTGAAAACATTAATTTCTAATTCTCTATCAGTTCATTCAACCAATCTGACTTCTCAAGTAGTAATATACAGTAATAAACATACAGAGTTGTGCATTTACTTTGTAATTTCTTAAGGGAATTTCAGTTTTTAAGCCACTGAATGACACAAGTAAGATTTTTTTTCCCCTCACATTCTTAGAAGGCCAACTTATAGTCAACAAATAATAAGTGTAACTCACACCAAACCAAGGCACAGATTCTAAATAAGGCCATCATTTTCCCAGGACTCCTTGGAAATAGGCTTCTACCATTCCAGGCCCCATTATCTCCAACATGCTTTTAACACACTTGTACAAGCATGAGGAGGGAGGGACGCTGGAATGCAATTCCTTGAGTTTAATTTGCTCAGCGTTCATTGTGAAGTTAGCTTTCAATTGAAAATATACTATATTAGGAAGGGGAAAGGAGAGGAAATTAAACCCAAAGACTGACTCTTTCTTCCATTATTCTGATGATTCCACTAGGACAAACTAAAATGTATCCCTTCTTACCTAACGGTCTTGCTATTTTTAAAAAGTGGTCCGTTAGTAAGCTTAGATAATATGAATGAGAAGGTCAAGGCCACCACTTTATAAATAAATCTGTACATATTTAACAATACTGATAGAGTCTTGTGGGCAAAAATCTATTAACTTTTTCACAACCAGAAGGAAAAGAAATTCTAAAGGGAAAATAGAGAGCACAGGAGCTGTAGCATCTAAGACAATCACGTTTAAAGACTAGATGCTGGCCAGCGCTGCAGCTCTGAGAAGAGGGTACACACCTGGTAAGCCCAGCACAGGAAGAGAAAGAGCAAGGAAAGAACAAAGCTAGACACCAGTAATTACAAAACTGAAAAATAATCTCTTGAAATAGTGTCCCATCTAATATTACTTCTTTTGATGATTTAAACATTTCTAAACAGTTTTTCAAAACTGTTGATTCACTTCAATCCTCTTGACAAAGTTGCACTGGAGAATACACACTGGGCAATACTTACTAAACATCTACTATGTGTTACATTATCTTATTCTAATAAATCTATAAAGGAAGTAATGCCTGAATCGTTACTGAGATTCATACAAGATATTTAACTAGAGCATAACTATTTGTCATGGACCTAATATATATTAGAAAATTCTAGCTAATGTTCAATTACTAATAATTTACAAAATAGTAATGTGAAAACTGCAAAAATAAATATTTAAATCACTTGAAGAGACTTGTTATAGAAAGCAATTAAAACAAATTATGTGTTATGGGTATGGTAGTGTACATCTGTGATCCCAGCTCTTGGGAGGCAAAGGCAAGGGAATCCTGAGCTAGAGGCTAGCCTGGGCTAAAAAGAGAGACCCTGTCACAACAAAAAATTTCAATCATACAGCACAATATCAATGTGTAGAGACCTTGAACCTATAGGATTCAGGAGAACACTTGATAATATCAGAACACACTGTAACTAAGAAACTAGCATTAGTTATCTGTCTTGCTCAAGAGTTCCACAGCTATAAGGACCTTTTTATTCCAGATAAATAGGCAATGTTTCTACTGAATAGCAGTGACCATACCAAGCAAACCATGATTTAAATATGTCTACCTAGATTCAAATAATTCATAATAAAAATTAAGGCATTTAGATAAACAACTGATAATTATTCTAAAGTTAACAACTTGACAGATCTATCCAATGGGGAATCTATGTTCAATTATCTAAGGAGAACCTTCAAAATCATATAAATGGGAAATTTTAGAACATTATCTTCCTTTGGAAATAAACATAAGTCATGGGAAAGTTCAGCAATAAGTCTCAACATTTAAAAGTCACTAAAGTTAAATAAATCAAGCTATTCTCATGAACTGTAGGAATACCAAAGGAAATCTTCCAAGATTTATACAACTTAATATTGCAACTAGCATATCAATTCAACTAATTTTAAAGCCTGAACACTTTAACCTGTAAACTCTGCTTTAGTAAAACCCAACATGGGAGATTTTCAGCAATGTAGGAAGAAGGGCCGTAAGATGAAAACAGATACCGGTGAACATTACAGAAATTAAAAACTATAGAGTAAATCTCAATTTGTTCATTTTAAGAACTCTCTCCTTGAACCTCTTTCACATAATAATGATATTAAAATTAACTTATCACAGACTTAACAAAGGATGTAAAACAAGAGTACAAAGGTAAAACCTGTTCCCGCTCACTTCACTGTGATCCTATAGCAACAAGACAGAAACAGGAAGAAGGTGGGGGGGGGGAGGGTGGCGGGCTTAAAAACACAGGAAAATGCCCTAGTGTCCAGGGGAAGCTGGAAGCAGGACAGCAGCATCTAAACAACTAGACCGAATTCACTCAACCTGGAGATCTTTTCAAGAAGATGCACACTGCCTAAACACTTTGCAACTATTAAGTCTACATCCTTTCCTACTCCTGACAAGCTACAAAATAATCTTTTTAGAAGAATGCTGAACATATTGTGAGGGTATGATGGCATAAAACTACTCAGCTTCTCATATTTCTCCAAGGTACACATCTAATTTGTCCACAGGCTTACTTCGTGCAGACACTCTTGGTGATTAGTTAACTCAATACAGCAGGACTGAGCTGCAAATGACTTATTCAGAGGAAAATGATTATGGGTAAATCTCTGAATTCCACATTATTTGAACTCTTATTCTAGGCTCATTTTTCAATTTCTATCAAATACTATATAAACTTCCATTCTCTTTGGAGACAAAGAATGTGTCTCAGTAATGTAATTTTAATATCCACACACCTGAATAAGTTCTAAAACAGAATCCCAAAGGGAAAGCCCCTACACTATTACTGAATAACATGCAATTATACAATGGCTTCTCATTATCATGCTTTAAGCTCATTCTTAGCTTAAAATTTTTAATGCACAAATAATTAAGCCACAATGAGAGCTCAATAAATAATCAGTGCAGCAAAATACACCTTTTAAGCAGAAGTAAGATCTGGTATGTAGGGGCTGATGAGAAGGCTCAGCAGTTAAGAGCACTGACTGCTCTTCCTGAGGACCAGGGTTCCATTCCCAGCACCCACATGCAGCTCACAACTGTCAGTAACTCCAAGATCTGACACCTACACACAGACATGTATGCAAACAAAACACACTAAATAAGAATAAATAAATTATTTTTTTATAAAAAGATCTGGTACCTATTATTTTTTCACAAATAATACATTGTATTTAAAAAAAATCATGATCAAAATGTATAAACTCTTTCTTTTGTATTCACCTAAGTAAATGCAACAGGATTAAGCCCACAGTTTAAGAGTCCTTGTAGCACAGAACTGTAAGTACTAGAAAGTAGGAGACATTTTCCTGCGCTTAGATTTTATCATATTTAAAACATCTCAGTATGATAGATCCTCCTGTGGTCCACTTGGATTACGTGGATCCTGACAAGCGAATGTCATAGATGCTGTGACTTTTTGGTAACTGACTGAGTGTGTGGGGCTAAGAGCTTGGTGTCCTGGAGCTGTGGCTGTCCTTTCACTAACAGTCAGCTCAAACAGGAACTGTCACTGGGACCCAGTAAGAAGGTGCCACACTCAGGAACTAGTTCCACAGATTAGCAGACCTCACAGTAATCTTCATACTGGCATCCACAAGCTGAAAGTCATGGCCTGTGAGCTAGCCCTGTGGAAATAAAGACACTATGCAGGTCCTCACAAATAACTGAAAATATGAAGTAGCTGGAACTTCCAGTGCCTTCCAAAACAGCCTTGAAAACTGTCACCTCAACTATATGCACATATATTTCAAAAACAATGAAACCTAATTCCTATCTCTGAAACCTTCTAAAGTACACATTTATCAAGTCAAAAACAAAAAACAAAATAAAAACCAGCATTTGAAAACATATTATTCATGCTATCAAGTAAAATCTGTAACTATTTGTACACATCCTTTGAAAACATGACCTAAGGGCTAGGGACATAGCTCAGTGATAAAGAACCTTCTAGAATGTGTAAATCCTGTGTCCCATGAATCACGATCCAGCCAAGATCTACCTATACCCCCATAAAAAAAAAAATCCTGTGGTGTGACATTGCAGTAGGTGACAGTCCACCTCTGCTTCATCCGGGTACTTATACTCGGATGCAACCACAGGTACACACCTGACTGTGTGTGTAACAACTCAGGAACACCCCTGACTGTGTGTGCAACAACTGAGGAACACCCCTGACTGTGTGTGCAACAACTCAGGAACACCCCTGTGTGTGCAACTGCAGGAACACACCTGACTATGTGTGCAACAACTCAGGAACATGCCTGACTGTGTGTGCAACTGCAGGAACACACCTGACTATGTGCAACAACTCAGGGACACACCTGACTATGTGTGCAACAACTCAGGAACACGCCTGACTGTGTGTGCAACAACTCAGGAACACGCCTGACTGTGTGTGCAACTGCAGGAACACGCCTGACTGTGTGTGCAACCACAGGAACACCCCTGACTGTGTGTGCAACCACAAGAACATGCCTGACTCTGAAACAACTGCAGGTACATGCCTGTACTTAGATTGTTCCCAGTAACAAACACAAAACCTAAGACTATGAAATGCACAGGATTCTAGATACACTTCTTAATATTCCTCTCAGCAGGGGGAGCTAGCACTCTCATCTTAAAGGTCTACCATATAGTATGTAAATTCAATTTTTGATTCCAATTATAAAATTTCAGAATGTTAGATTATCCTCCTGAAAATCTCCACAAAGAAAATGATTTCATATTTAAATTTACCTTTGTCTTGAAATTCCTGAAAGTAGCTGCAAAAAAAAAAAAAGACATTTAAATATGATTGAAAAATCAAAGCAAGGTCTAATTAATGGCAATAATTCAAATCCAAAATCTATATTATAAATATACATCTAGAGAAAATACTATTTCTGTCTTGAAATGACAATTCCAAGAGGCTTGGGAATTTACAGTATACGCATTTTTAAATATTTAAGTATGAAAGAAAGAGAATTAAAAAAAATCTAACAGTAGAACATATATCTTTAATATCTCTAATATTACATTTAATTATTTAATGCAGTAACGATTTAGAAGATTTTCTTTTTCAAGGTCTGATGGATAGTAAAACTCTCAAATATGTCTTGATGCTCAAAATAAACACAATGTTTTGCTAACATACTTAGAAAAATTATATAACTATAAACAAAATGGGTTTTTTTATTTTTTTTTACAAAATGGGTTTTATAACTGCTTAAAACTATTATAGTAGAAATATATTTTGTCCTTTAAAAATACTTAACATTAATAAATCAGCACATAAAATTTAACTTCATAATAAACATTAATTACAGAGTTATTTCTGAGTAAGAAATTAGTAATAAAAGGCAAGTGACTTACATAGATTTTACATCTTTTATCTTCTTAATGAGAGATTCTCTCTTTTCCTTTGCTTTCTTGGATAAATTTTCCCCTTTCAGTGTGTCTGCTACAAATGTTTCAACATCTAAACCATGAAATATAAAAAGAGGGTACAAATTACAGAAAGGAACTATTCTTTGTGAAGACAAATAGATCAATGATTATTTCTACACTCAAGTATTAACATCTGTGCGATCTATGGTAGTTGCATATCAGCCCAAAGCACAACAGTTGAAATATGTTTCAAAAACTAAGTTGAACAAATCTACTCACCACTTAACTAAAAAAACTGATGCTTACAACAGCAAATGCTATTTGGATGTTTGGCATCATTAAACTAGGAAGAAGCACACACGTTTTAATAAACCATGGTGCCCCATTAAACAAATTTGCTTCTCTAAAGCAAGTGGAATGCTTTTATGCATGTACTACTATCATTTTATAATTATTTTTAAGTTGCTATAAGAACAAGTCATTTGCAATATTTTATAATGATAAGCTAAAGTCTCTGGCAAGAGTGTATTTTTCTCAGTGTAATCCTCTTTCAAGAACACATAATAGCTAATACTTAAAGGAAAAAATAAATCCATTTTTTTCTAGCCAAGATTCCCAAATCACATCCTCCTCCTCACTACCTTCCCACTCGTACTGGCTATGTAAAAGTCATATGGTTATGTGAGCCCTTGCTTCCCACCGTGCTTTCAGCCACCTGGAATACTATTTAAATAAAGAAGCAAAAAATGGGTTCTTCTATTATTTAAAAATATAGTATCTAGGAAATAGATTTCTAGGACTTCATGTAACATTTCTCACAGTCTGTTCCAAACTTTTAGTAAACTCCTAAATATTTTGTTGATGAATACTCTCTCCTGTAAAATTCCAAGAAGCCCTTGCTGGCTTGAGTCCTACACGTCCATTCTTATATAGTTCATGAAATACTGGATAGCTTACACATATTTTATTTTCAGAATTCTATTGCTCAATTTAAAATATCTCTTAGAGAATTACATTAAAATTTTAAACATGACTACAAATCACCCACATTTGGTACTGGAAAGATGTGTGCTTTACTTTCTTTTTATCTAACTACTTTGTCTCTTAATTTAATTGGTAGAAAGATCAAAACATAATATTACACATAAGAAATAGAAAGTGCAATAACCTCAACTGTTTTTATAATGAACCATTTAAAGCCTAATAATATACAATAGAATGCAATCAACTTTAAATTCTTGATTACAAAAAGCATTTTGCTAAAGTGAAGAATATGGATTATGCTGTTACAGATTCATAATAAGTACATAATTTTTTGCTAAGCCAATCAATACAAGGGGGAAAATAAAATTAAAATATGAAACAATCTTTTAAATAACTTCTAGTTTGAAATTCAGTAACAACAAATATGTTAAAATCAAGTAGCAAAATGAAATGAAAGCAAAATGCCCTGATGTCTCTTTCCTTCTGTGTCCCCTAAATTAAGGAGAAAAGAAGCATTGTCAGAGGTCAGTGTATGTGGAACAACTTCTCAAGTGGGTTCAAAACAGTAAAACTTGAAGCAGCAGTTTCTACCCACAGAAGAAAGCCTCCTTCCGACAAGCATACTTGAGCTGGAAGAGATCATCATTGGTTTCCCTGGTATCCACACATTAACTGTTTTTTGCTAGCTCTCCGAAACTCAGCCTACACTTGCAAGACTCAGGGGCACATAGACTGGTAAACAGTCTGCTTAATGTTATTTTCACTCCATGTTTGTCTTTAATTCCCTCTTCCACGAGTATTTAATTGCCTATTTTACATTTTCATTATGCAATCCCAGTTTAAACAAACAGGATCTATTTTCTCTCTCAGGAAGCAATAACAGAACGAATTACTGCCTGCATTATTTTTCTTCAAAAGGTCATTTCAGTTTTCTAAAAACTCAGAAAACATAATAAAAAGGTTGTGTGCTCTATGTGTTGTTTCCTAAAAGCCTCCCCAATATGTTCTGAGGATGCAAATCCATGCTTCTATTTTGAGAAAACATTTGTTGAAAGGGTATAGGAAAAATCTGTATTTCTTGAGAGTACGGAAAACATTATTCTCCTAGAATTGTCTTTTTAATATATTTATACCCATGCTTTTTCCTAGAAAAATGCTTACTAGCAATTGGAAGGATTTTTTGGTAATTCTCCAACGAGATGCAGAGAAGAAACTGCTTTGCTGCTGGTGGTGTTTAACAAGATCTTTAGCTGGGAAAGGCTGTGATAATCTGGTTTGTTGGTTGCCCGCAGCCTTGGTTGGTATTTAAATTTTTCCAGTCAAGGGTGCTTCTTAAAATATACACCGCGTCAGATCTAACGGATGGAATATGTAGCCTGTCCTGGCAGCGACAGCGGTACTGTATAGCTCGCCGACATTGCTCCCTCGAGTTTTTGCCAGCTCCGGAGCAGGGACCAGGGACCAGGCTGTCCTGGCGTGCCCCAGCCTTGCCCCCCAGAAAGGAGCCCAAACCCAGACAGACTTAAACCTCCGGTTCTTGTCCACATAGCTGGGAGCGGAGAGTTGGGCTCAGAGTGCTGAGCTTGGAGCAGCCACGCCAGACAAATGGGACTGGCTCTACGGCTTTGTACCTCAAACCCAGAGTAATATTTCAAAAGCCAGCAATAAAACTCTTGGGCAAATCAAGCGCTCCTCTGGCTGGTTGGAAAAGAGATTTGAAGCTTTTTATTGTGCTCTAAATAGCCCTGCAAATGGTAAAGAAGCCTGGGCGGTGAGTTAGCAAGCCGCCTTGGCCCTTTCACCTTCCTTTAGGGGTCGTGTCCTTCTGTTCATATGTAGATTTCGCTGACTGCTTTCTGCCTGTAATTCCGGGAATCGTAGTAATTTGACTACAAGAAAAGGTCAGCCAGCGCAGACTGGCCACTGGGTCCAGGGATTGAGAATCTTTTTCTCTGAGGTGAGATTTTATTTTACCCACCGGCTCCAGCCACGGAAAAGCAGGATGCGGGAGGCTACTGGCTCCTGCTAATAAAGCCTGGGAAAGAGGGTGCCACCAACGCAACAAGATCCTGTGGTCCCCCACCTCTTCTTACCCTCGAGGGCTGCAGGTCACACAGCCTGCAGAATCACCCCCACTTCCATGGGCCTCCAACTGCACATTAGCAACAGGAAAAGGTTAACCTAGTGAAAGTAAATGTGGTGGTAACGTTTGCTCCTATTACACCTTAATTTTGTCAAGAGTAAGCCTTCCAGCGGGAACAGCTGTAAAGATCTGGAGCAAGGCAGCTGAAAGATCAGATTTACAACTGTTTTGTACATAAATGTTAAGGTCTGAAAAACAAAATTTAAAAAATGACATGTTCTGGCTCAACAACCCTTATGCAGCTAAGTCAGAGGTCACTCAGCAGACTTATGACCCTGAAGAGGCAAGCACTTAACACTCCACCCTCTGAATGGTACTTCCAGTATCCTTTTTGCTTTCTTTCTTTTTCTTTGTATATATGAACCCCTAGAAAAACTGCCACCCTGTCTTACTCTAGAGTCAATGAGGACAGGTCTCTCTCTCTCTCTCTCTTTCTGACACACACACACACACACACACACACACACACACACACACACACAAACACACACACACTGCAAGATACAAGAAAACTCTTCCAATGATAACTCCTCCAAGAGGCAGTAAGAGTTCAGCACCTGCTCTCACCATGTCCCGCCTATATGGCACAGCTTAGAATGAGATCTGCAGCCTGGAGAACAGGTCACTAAGGTAGCCTCCCTCTTCTGCCCACCTAGTACACACACACACACACACACACACACACACACACACACACACACACACACACACACCACCTCTGGGATGGCCTGAATCTGCCTGAGAGAGAAAGAAAGAACTGAGATGGATCTACCACCATTTGCTAAGTCCCAGATCAATAAAATAACTGTAAGAACCAATCATGGCACCCCAAATGGCTTTACTACTTAATTCCAAATGTTTTCCTACCTTATGGTGTGAACCAGCTTTTACTTTGTGTTCTTTGAGCTATCTGTCACACAACTTAATGTGTTAACTTAAAGCCTACACTTTCAGCTGCCATCAGAACAGAACACTTTCTGTTAAACCAGGGAATGAACTGACCAAAACTTCTGGGGAAAATAGAAAAATCAATTAAACTGGGCACATGCAGATTAATGGAGCCAAATACCCAAAGTTGGGAAAATGGCTAATTGAAAAGTTATTGATTGTTCTAGTCAATGCCTTCCCCTAGATTACCTTGCACTTTCCTGCAGTACAGCTTTTCAAACATGGAAAGAGACATGAAGGAGCACAGATCACCAAGTGCAATGGGTAAAGCATATCTGAGTTTTATAACCCAATCAGCTACAAACTTTTCAAAACCGGCTTTACGCACTAAATAGTTTATTTTGATAAAAAGCTGATGTTGACAGATAAGTCTGGCCATTTTTCATCCTCTTTAGATTTATCTAATCAAAACCTTTTCACCACACATTTTCAAAGAGGCCTCAGAAAGCAACACATTAGTCTGAGATTTACACTATATCCAACCACTGTTGGGTAGCATCTATTGTAATGCGTGCAAAATGTGATTGAAAAAGAAATGTAAACTCGGTGGAATGAAAAAGATAGACTTGGCTTTAATTGAAAAAGACAAACTAAATGAATAATGAGTGTATAAAACCTAGCCTATGTCTCTTTTATCACCCATATATGACACTTAATGTTCAATTTATGTGAGACAACTGAACGACTGTGTTTCAAATCACCAGAGGTTTTCTTCCTCTGGCACCCTTACCTTCTTTCCACAAGTATGTTAAGGCAAGCCACTTGGCAGAGATAAACATACTTGGAAAGCTTACAACCTGCTCATTTTTTTTTTTTTTTAGGACATTTAGATGTTTTGAAAGAAACTAATACTGATTAAGATTAGATTAACTATTTAAATGTTCATAACATCAAGAGATTTACTTAGTAATCCAAGGCAAAAATACTTTCAATGTAATGCCATTCAAAAATAGCCCCCAGCGAGGAAAAAGAAAAGGCATTTTAGTCATAACAGATAAATAAATTTCCCAATACTACATCTTCATTTACAGATACTATTTGAGCCAGACAAAATCCTGGTAGGATTCTAGCCCTTTGATTTGCAAACTCCTACCCCTACTTGTAAGAGAAAGTATTTCAGAGATGCCATAGGCTGATTTCACTTTCGGATCATATGTTCTCTTATCAACTTTATACTCATTAGCTGCTGCTGCCAAAATGGGGCAGGCTTGCTCTTGCTCTGTTGGATAATCCAGGTACTAAGAAGTAGGTGACTATTGGTGACTCAGTAGGTGGCACTCTTCCCTTTGCATACTCAGCCAATGCTCCAGAAGGAACACAAGATATACCATAAATAATTCTCACACAGAAAATAAGACCAAAATGTTGACCAAATTATAAACAGGAATTGGAAAGGTGAGAAACGAACCATACTGTACTTGACATTGAAACCATTTTACCTTGGTTTCAACTGAATTGCATTCTTAATCAAGTGTCCCTAAAGAGGTTATCGATTACACTGTGTGGAGGTTTAAAGTAAAAGAAAAAAAAAAAAATGCTCTGGAAATCCCCAGTAGGGGGAAAAGGCAATATTTCTAAACAAAACTGCATCTGAACAAAATCTCAAGGTCATTTTGCTGAAACCATATAGGCACTTTGTTATGGTTTGTTCCGTTTTATCTTAATTTTTCAGCACACTGATGGCTATTTTCTCCTAACACTGCTTTTATTTTCTAATTTATTAAGAAGAAGGTAACACGCTCTTCCAGCTTTCCTTTTAAAATGTGTTGTCATGATGTGAATGGATGAGGAGTCTGATGGCAGAGATTTGATGGCAGACTACTGACAAACCCATATCTAAAGGTTATTAAAAACTGAGGACAGCAGGCGGCACTGCCAGAGCTGCTCACCTTCTTCTGCTGGAGGAGAACTCACATAAATCAAGACCATTTTGCTATTAGTCCTAGTCAAAATATTTGGGTATGGGGTAAGATTAAATGGCCAAGACTTAGGTCTATCCTTTGGTTTTAATTATCCAAGATAAACCTGTTCTTCCATTGTTGGGGAGGGAGGTCAGAGGTTGATTCAACAAAATGTTATATAAACTGTCCTAAAAAGAAGACTTGAATATTTCTTATTTTTAAAAAATATAGGCCTTCAATTTTTAGTGTATCGATGCTATAGAAACTATAACTGCTTAAACTATGCTGTCGTTTTTTTTTTTCAAGGATATTATTAACTGTGAGTTAAGAATAGAAACTTTAGTTTTACTTTTCTATACAGTGTTTTTAAAGATGAAAGAAATAAGGAGGGGACAAATAGTGAAATGGCAATCTAAAGTTACTATCAAAAAGCAAAATAATGACAAAGAAAAAAGTATGATTACAAAAAAATACATTTGAGCACCTATCTCCATCAAGCAAATTCTGAACAAGTGTGACATATGATGACTCAGATAATGAACATATGACACATAAAATGAAATGTCATTTTTCTTTCTTCTGAAAGCAGAGGATTTTAAATTCTTGTAAAGGTTGGTTCCTTATCTAATTCATACTGTGCCTCAAATTTTAAGAGCCTTAACTACTTACAAGTACCAGGATCACTATCTCTTCTTCAGTTTAAAAAAGAATACACTAAGTAAATCAGCAATATCTCTCAAATCCAATGAATTAAAATACTTCACTCTAATTTTACAATTCTATATTTAATCATGTACTATCACCCAAAACACTGGTGGAATCATCAACGTGCATCACAGTAAGATTCAAGGGTGACATACTGCTTAGAGCATCTAGTCTAAAGATGTTAATTAAACATAAAATCTTAACAATCATCTTTGACTGCTTAGAAGTTATTTTAAGTGGTGAAAAAGGCTAGCTCACTTGTTTAATTCCTTTACTATATACTGTATCCATGAGCTAAAGACATCTTCTAAAAATAAAATGTAACCCAAACTTGTAATCTGCAAACATTTATTGCTTCAATATTTGTTTTAATCCCTCCTGTATATCATAAAAAGTTAATTTCAAAAACTGTGCTAGTACAACCTCTGACTTAGCAGATGGCAGAAATATACAGAAAGTTAGCAGTAGCAGGTAAATGTGTAATTCTAAGCTTTGGTTTACAAGATACAAGAGAAAGTCACAGAAAATACTTGTAATCTATTAAGGTCAGAGAATGATGGGTCTCATAGTTCACATAGCATACACACTATGTCAGAAGTACAGCTGTGGGTCCATATGATAACTTGCTACTAAGGGAGCTGTCACTCTTTGAAAGCTAAACAAAGGTATTTTTTTTTAAAACAAACAAACAAAAAGAAAAGGATTTGGAATAACCTGAAAACAATAACAATGACATTTCTGGAATAAAACACTTTTTTCTGATCTAGTTTTTAAGATACTTTTCTAAACATGCAATTCCAGAATTGGACCCCCTCAAAAAAAGTTAACTATAGTAAAACAAAATTGGTACGCCTATAAGTGCTCATATAATGGGAAAAAAATGCTTCCTTATATCAGCATCTATAGGTCTTTCATCATTTCTCTTAATGACACTCGTTAATGACAAGAAGCATCTCTCAGAGTAACATAATACACCATCACCCTGTATCATGATCATACAAACACAAGTCCGCACCCATACATGTACTTGCATTTTTCGATCATCTTCATGATGCACAAGAGCCAACAACTTAACAAGGTATTATGATGCTTGCTCTCACACTATTGCAACAGTAACTTATTACTTCAATTGTTACATTTTAGTTGTTTTTTTGACAACTAAAGTACACAACTTAAAACAGGCATCTAGGAGAAACTTTTTAATTTAGTTATCCAAGTTCAGTATTGGAAGAAATATTTTAGAAACAACAAAACTAAAATTACTCCATTTCCAGAATTTTGACATCAACAAGACAAAGTATATGATGGTATCCAAGACCATCAGAGTAGGAAAGTCTTGTGCTACTCTAAAATGGGTATCCTCTACTTTGTACAGACCTAGAGAGCTCCATACAGTACTAACAGTAGACTCATAGTAGCACTAGGAACCATATTTCAACTCCTCAAAGTTCCTATAAATGGGAATGTAAAACCAAAAAGGGGAAGATGAGGGTGCAAAAGATTAAGTTCTTTCACCACAAGACACAGGAAGTAGGACTTTTAACACATCCTTCCTTTTTCACTTTACTGAGGCTGGAGGTAGTGGCCATTTGAAAATCGGGCTCACTTCAAAAATATAAACATGTTTGACCTGACCAAGAAAACGGATCCTTTAAAATAGCACCTTTTCACTTTCTACCTCCCAACACCTGCGGCCCTAAAGCGCCCTTGCTAACTAACAGCTGCACCCCTCCTGACCTGGCCACCAGGAACTAGTGCTTGGACATCTACCTTCGCAGTTCTCCACATGCATTCGTCAACGTTTGCTATCCATCTGCCGCCCTCACATTCAGATCTTTAGGAAACAAGTCTTAACCGGCTCCCGGGGAGAATCAGCACATTTCAGCATACACGCCCCCTCCCTTCTCGTCCCGGCACCCCGGCACCCAGGCACCCTGATCCCCCTACTCGGCCCGTCCCCATGGCGGGCAGGTAAAGCGTAAGCGCCTCTGTCCCTACCGGCTCGCCGTCCCGCGCCCCCGCCCCCAGTGTCACCGCCCCCTTCTCGCATTTTACCTGCCAACAGGTTCCTGATTTCCTCAGGGAGGGGGCCGGGACAGGACGTGCTGCTGGGGTTAGGCATGGTTGTGGCTGGGACCTAGACTCGGGCAAGCCGTCCGGGTGAGCACCGAGGGGCTACGAGCCGGGACACGGCCAGGCCGAGACGCACAACAAGGAAGTCACTGGCTCTTCAGCCAGCGGTCGCTGGACGCCGGGCCCTGCCCCGCCCCGCCCGGGAGAACGGGGCGGGGCCATGGGTGAGGGGCGGGGAGAACGGGCTTGGAGCCCGACTGCGCTTGCGTAGCTCTTGCTTTCTGAGTATCAAAAGAAAGCGCCTCCGGGCAGGCCACGCCCACATCACCTCCGGGAAGGCCACGCCCACACGCGAGGGGCGCTAGAGGCGGGGCCGCAGAGGGAAGGCGGTGGATTGGTGCCTGGTCACCTGACCGGGCCTTGAAGTGCGTCCGCGCCATTTTTGGTGCTGGTACCACAGCCACACCTCACTCTGTCTCCAGGATTCCGGGAAATAATGTCTCCGCCTACACACTTTCCTGTTTAGGGACCATCTGATCAGTGGTCGTTCCAACCAAGGTTTAAACCCCTTGTCTGTAACCCACCAGGAAGTTTCCACCACCACCACCCTACTAGCGTGGCCCCCTTTGAAGGTAACAAAGTCCCATTTTCCGCCAGTCCTTCCTGAGAGTCCCAAGCCTAAAACGGTGGAGCGTTCTGATTGGCCTTGACAGTACTTTTCTACCTGTCCTTGGAATGAAAGATTTCCCTAGCTCTGACGGAAGTCCTAGTCCTTATCCTTTTGGGGGCGGGCACCCAGGAAGCTAAGTTGGTACTACTAATAATCCACCTGTACCACGGTCCACCTGTAAGTATTTTTTAATTGCTGGTAGTGATTAGGAAAAGGAATATATAAAATTTGTTTTCTTTAATCAGCAAAGACTGAGCCTTCTGTCCTTAAATCTTACAGGTTTACACTAAATCCCAAGAAGACAATTTGAGTCTTTAAAGTCGTGTGTGTGTGTGTGTGTGTGTGTGTGTGTGTGAATGATAATAACATTCAAGTGCCATTAACTTTTACAATCACTTAAACCTACTGTGTAGACTTAAATGTTATCGAATAAAATGAAGTTGCCAGTCACTGAAGAATACAGAAGAGGCTGATAGGAGTCTTCAAATAGAAACTGACAAAGCAAAACATATTAGTGCCCACTGTGGTAAATTTATGCTTGGAAAAGTGGCTACAGAAATGCCCTAAGTTGCACTTTCCATCTTTCCTTTGGCACATCATTTTCAAAATGGCACATGAATATCACCTTACCCACATTTCCCTTGATAGAGACGGTGGCTATAGTTTATTATTTCTCCTAGGTATTAATGTTCTACTCTGAATAGCGTGTCCAAGCTCCAATCAAAATATAAATTGCTTATTCCTGTACACTCAGCTTCTTTTTAAAATTTTGTTTTATTTTCAAAACTGGATCTCACTATGTGGTTCTGGGTGTTGTAGAACTCACTATGAGTTCTACCTCATGAGTACCAGGATTAAAGGCATGGGCTACTAAGCCCAGCTTTCTTTAGATCAATGTTACTTATGCTTTAATCTGCCTTAGATTTCACGGAGAGAAACTGCTAAGGTGTGAATTCTTAAGTCCAACCCCAGAGACTCTGATTAAATGAAAAGCTGTCTCATAGACAAATATAAGCCGTGTTGAGATTTGATTTTGAGAAGGATTTCACTACTATTTCCCAATTTCTACAGAGGAAAATGTGTAGTTAAGTGTCATCCCCAGCTGGAATCCTAAGCCTAGCATAGAATAATGGCACTATTATAAATATTTTATTTAAAAAATGTCAAGGTTAGGGGGTAGATCAAAATATGTGCTTAGTATGTACAATTCCCAGCACCAATTGAATAAATACCAGTTTTTTTTTCAGATAGTACTCATAAAAATTAATACTCAAATGCACTTTGATACTTAGTAATTCTCAAAGAGACAATACTGAACACTAATTCTAAAAGGAAAATTTAGAATATTTAGGTGCCCATGTCTTACAAAACAGCAGAAACAAAAATCTAGCCATTCAAGTAAACCATGCAAAATAATAACAAAAAAAGACACCTTCAAAGTGTCTGTTTAGCCAAAATGGAATAAAAAATTCCTACCCAGATGAGCAGTGTGATAAATAATAAAGAGAGTGCTGAAAATTAAAATTCTTTTTTTTTGTGGAATTAAAAGTAAATTTTATTCTTCTCACTTTAAAGAATTAAGAACCATCATTAAACCACAAGATCATCCACTTTCCTAAATAAGAAGCTATTCTGTGGACAGTTTATGTTAGGAAAAACTATTCCTCCCTTTACTCTAGTCTTATACATTCTCTGTCTTGTCACTTTTTTTATTAAGAGCCTCTAGACAGCCCAATTCTTTCTTGCCTTTAGATAGAACTGACCACATTTTTTTATTCTTATGTCTTATTTATTTGTACTCAGCTTATTCCACAAAGGAATGGCGGTGATTTGCTCTATCAAATAGACAGCGCTTTAGAGTAGCTCAAATGCAGTGTCTACACTGCTCATTATGACAATGCCTTCTTGTTAGCAAGAGACAAGAAACCCTTAAAATGTATAGCATCTAGTAGTCCAAATAAAAAAGGCAATAACAGAAATGGACTTTTTGTATGAAACACACTTCTTCTATTTAGAAAACCATTTTCAGACACAGGTTTTTTCCTGTGTCTGTGATGGATGCACTTAGGCAATGCTTTATATATGCCATTATTTTTAGTATGCCTTGCTAAAGTTACTGCATTGATTTTAAGATGGAAAGAGAAATAGACTGAAAGAAATGGATTCTTATTTCTCTTGTCTTCAAATGTGTCATAACAAAACTAGTAGAGAAATCAAATAATACTTTTCATACATTAGTTGTGTTAGGATTTAAATAATAATAATAAATGAAACTTTAAATCTCAACCCAAAAGAGGTTGAGGCCTCCATCTCATTCCACAGAAAAATCCTAGACTCTCAGAAAGTCTCTTGATTTCTTTTCTCAGCAATAGATCCTCCAGTTCAAATAAAATAATATACATCCCTAGAACTAAAACTAACCCCCTTTTCTATGACGTTCAAAATAAATGCAGGGTGCTGAACAAGGACATGCCCACAGACTTATATTTAAAATAATTTACATGTGCCTGGGATAAAAGATGACAATGTCCAAAACATAATCTACTTTCCTTTGCCTCTCATCTTCATTTCTGGTTAGCTTTCATATAGAAGAAGAAGAAGAGTCTGCTATTTATTTCTGCATAATAAAAGTTAGCAGCTTTTGTTCCACAGCTATGATGGTTAAGAATCCACAAGCAGATTGACATGACCCTGCCTCAGTATCTCCCATGAGGCCCAGTAGCAGTCATCCACAGCTACGAGGATCTGACTAGAGATAGCTTATCCTTGGGCTGTGGGCTGGCACCCTTGCTTCCTCATTGGCTCCTAGTCCTTGACAAAATGGGTTTCTCTTTGGGGCAGATGATTGCCCTTTCATTCTAGCCACTGGCTTTTCTAGAGTAAGTACCAAGAGATGGAACAACCGAGACAGACTTGTACTTGCGTAGGCTGAGTATATTAGACAAAAGAAGTAACTGAGATGTTGTTTAGTTCTAAGTTTAACCCACAAAAAAAACTTTTAAACCTGCCTTTCAAGTCACCTAGTATTGGCTTTTAAAGACTGTTTAAAAATGAAGATTTGTTTTGTTTCCTAACTTATCTTTATTACCATTTGAAGTTTCTAGATATGATGTGTACTTATCATTATTTGGCAATAAACAAGAAAAAGTTATATTCTCATTGGAATTCATATGGATTTTCCCCCCTAAAAAATGTGACATTGAACTCAATGAGAATCAGAAAATTCTCATAGAAGTAGTTCATGACTGCTTTTAGGTTATAATTTCTTTGTCGTGGGTAGTTTGTCCCAGTGATCAAAGTCACAGCCTCTGCTTGCTAGGCAAGTGTTCTCCACTGAGATACAGTCCCAGCCCACACCATAATTATTCCTCTTATTAGTATAGTTTGTTACAATAGCAAGACAACAGACTCATCCATTTAATTTGCTGTTCCTCTTATTTGCATATACATGTACTCAGATCCTTTTCTGTCTAGAGCAATCATTTTAATATAAGGAGAATAAACAATTTTACATGGGTTGGATTTGAGTTCCAAGATGTTCTATATCTTTAGGATTCTATAAATTGGGAATAAGATGGGAGCCTTCATTCCAGTTCTGGACCTGTCAGAGGGTTGGCTCTTACCCACTCATAACCCAACTCTCTCTTTCTAGATGCTCAGTGTTGTGTTCACCCACCTCACCAATGAATAACACAAGGCTTCATGCATGCAAACACTACAACTGAGCCATACCACCAGCCTAGCTATAAGGTCAATTTGGATGACAATCTAGTTCTAAGCTTTTATCATGCCTCTAAATGGCTCTGAGACCAAATCCCAATTAAACCAACTTTCAGTAAAGGAACATGTTTACTTGATTACATCTAGTCTTCTGGAAGATAACTGTCTCACCCCCTGTTATGATTTGAACATGAAATAGATCCCCACAGATTTGTGTGTTTGAACATGTGGTCCCCCAACTTGTGGTGCTGTCTTGTAAAGTGTGGAATGTTTTGGCCATGGGATCTAGTTGGCAGACACAGAACCCTAGAGGAGGAGTTGGCAAGGGATTGCCCAGCCTGCATTCTTACCTCAAGCTCTCTGCTTCCTGACCAACACAATGGAACCAGCTGCCTCATATATGCCAAGCAGCTACAGCTGCCAAGCTCCTCTACCATAATAAACTGTAACACTCTTGAACTGATCCAAAATAAATCAGTTTGAGTTGCTTTTAAAAACATTTTATCACTGCTGAAGAAGAGTAACCAGTTCATTCAGGATCCTACACACTGGGGTTCTCTTCTGCCTGGAACCCCTGAGAAGAGAGGAACCCAAAGCTCTGGGTTGTCTTCTGTCACTCATCATTCTTAGTACCCAAGGCTTACTAAGACCATGCAGAGGAAATACTTCATCATGATCTAGAGTTAATGAGCAGTCCTCTCCACTTGAACTGTTTCACTCCTGCTCTGGCTCATGAGGAACTTTCTACTTGAGATGCATGATAGCTGACCTTAAAATTTCTTTTCGATTCAGGTTCACTGCAGAGTTAGAAAGAGTTA